TTCTGTTACTGTAGCCTTATAATAAAAGTAGTATTAGCATTCATAACTTTGGTTTCCTAGTTTGGTCTGCCTTGAAGGCCTGAGAGGTTTTTGAATGATGCTGGCACCTCTGAGCCAACTGCTGCCAATCCAACATGTGGGAAAGGAAGGTCTCCCACCAGGCACAGCAGCTGCTCTCCACCCCTAGCCCTACCCCCACCATACTCCATCCCACGTAGGTGCCAAAATGGTTGTGTGGAGGGAAGTTGGTTTGTTTTAGGACAATACTGGAGCCTGCACAATAGTCTGTGCTGCTTGTTTGCACTCTCTGCAGTTGCCAAGAATAAGCTGCATTCTCTGTGACTCCCTGGAAAGCACTAAGTTGCTATCCCAAGGGAGAAGGCACAGGCAGCGTTCTGGGAGAGGAGCTTGGGGAACTCCCGCCTTCAACTCTGCAGGCTTAGCTGTGCTGTCACATGGTGGCAATAGTGGGATCAAGTGGATCCTAGACGGCAGCCCAGGGTAATTTATTTTCCTTCCCTCCCTCCCTCCCTCCGTCGGTCCTTGACAATTGGTTAAGCGCTATGCAAGGAAAAAATTGCCACCTGTTAATTCTAATGGGTTGATTTCTTCTCAGATTTAGTTCAAGCAGAATCTCACCTGCAAGATGCTGCACAGCCAGATCAGCTGGAAATATTGAAGCAGTTTGATTTCAGCTGGCAATATGGTCCCTGCACTGGTAAGGATTTCTAGCTATCTACTGAAACTAAGTCCAAGTACATATAATGAAAGAAGTAAATATGTTTGCCCTTCCTTTGCTGCTGTCCTGCAAAGTTTTAAAATATAATCTCATTTTAACAGAAGCTTACACAATAAGACATGATTCCTAAAAGGTGTATCATATTTTCTTGCAGATGCATGGGAAATCTGCAGTAGATCAGCAACTATTTCTTATTCCCAGTTATTTAATGATATACTAAAGCCTTGATTTAATCAGTTATTTGGGGGGAAGGTCTGAGGCCAAATATCCATTAAATCCAAATTTACATAATTTGTTATTTTTCTCCAAATCCAAATAGTTTTATTAATAAATTGCTATTATGCATAAGTAGATGCAAATAATGTCATTATGTCACTTGTCTGGATTGCTACAGAAACAACAGTTTTGTTATTTGGGAGTGAAATCCAAACTAAAATTCTGTTGTATCCATAATCTGCTGAATGGCACTCTGTAAAATCGAGGCTTTAGTGTAACAGCAACAAAAATAACCACCCTCCCCACTGCCACTAGAATACACTGTAGAAATTAAGGGAGGTTGGACAAAAAAAAATTGGATTTTATCAGAAAAAAATTGTGTATATTCCATTCTGACGCAGAAAACAAATGAATGTCTTCTGTACTTGGCTTTGAATGATGAATCCAAGTATAAAATAGAGCTTGCAAGTCTGAAGTATACCCACTTCTGCTGTAAAATGCTATGCGTGTTGATAATGCTTGACAAACGACGATATTAACATAGAAAAAAGGAACTCATAAATCATCCTCAACCTCTCATAACCACAGTTGTCTCAGATAAACTGATTAGGAGGCTTCCTGCAGATATCCCATTCTTGAATCACTCACTTTCTTCTGCTGATAGGAATCACCCGTTTGCAACGCTGGGAACGAGCCAAATTCTTAGGACTCAGTCCCCCTACAACTGTGCGAGATTTGCTCCTGAAGTATAATAAGGACCCTCTTGTTATATATAGGTCAGTCTATTATGTTTCTACCCCTTTCAGTCTGTTTTTTTTTTTAAAAGCATCTATCTGAAAGAATGAGACTATGAAAGTTAGATTGTCCATACAGAGTCCTGATAGTATTAGGTAAATTAGATAAATAGCATGGATTATGTGGTTAAATTCTGCTGTTATTCACATTTGTGTGAATAGGCTGTAACTATTTCTTTAAAGGGAAGACTCAAGATGAATTCTAGAAAAGTGAGATACTATATAAGATAAACTGGAAGAAAACTTCCAGTCATTCATACTGAGAGTATAGAAGTAATTTGTGCAGGAACAAAGCCACCTTCCTTTCCTTGAAGCTCAAGTATCCATGGCTTGTATCATGGTAGAGTCGCTAGTGACAAAGACACATGCTGACTTCATGAGAAAAATACCAGTTAGGATCAGCAAGGATAGAAGTTAGGACGAGGCTGCCCTTCAGGTATGTTTTCTTCAAGGCAACTTCAACTACAAGCTATTTGAAACATATTCAAGCAAGGAAGCTTAATTCCTTGTATATTTATAGACTAACATGTACTTAGAGCTTATTTATAAAGCTAAGAAGAGAGTAAAAACGGAGCCTTCCATCCAAGTACCGATTGGCTCCTAATCTTCTTAGCTGTTTCAGTGCCATAGGAGTAGGTGCTTCCAGAACAGTCAGGACCCAACCTTAAGGGGATGACGAAAATGTCAGGAGGTCCCAGTTACGGTCTCTCTCTGCTTCCCTTCCATATGTTTGTTCCCCTCCTCCTTCCCTTTGGCCAAGAACTCACTAGCTTTGAAAGCTGAGAGCTGTGGGACAATCTGACTCCAGATGGATCATTTGCTTAAGTTGACCATAAAATTGTGTCTGCCACAAAGGATGCCGTTGTGTCACAGAAGGCAGCCAAGCCCATTCCAGCTGTTTGGCAAGGGGATGGAGTGGCCATGCGAGAAGCCAAGGCAGGCCTCCCCAGACAGTAACCATGCTCCAAATTTCTTTCTTGCAGCTTGTGGCATGAATATGCCCTCTGAAAAGAACAACTTTGCTACCTGAGGCTGAGAAAGAGCCCCTGCCATTATGTCACCATAATAGTTTGGATAATTCCATAATTCCTTTAGGGAATGAAGTTCTGCAGTGGTGGTAAGGTTCCTGTGGGGGTGAGGGAGACCTTCTAGTTGATCTGCACTTGTGATTGGCCTCAGCTTTTAGAAATCACTAACAAGAACTTGACCAGATCAAGGCTGATAAATACACTGTAGAAATTAAGGGAGGTTGGACAAAAAAAAATTG